GCCTGTATTATATACGCCTCCGTTTCTCCTTTGGTTCTGTGAACCCCGTGGCCTCGACCGATGCCTTCCTTCCTTCCTTCCTTTCTCCCCTCCCTCTCTGCGTTGCGCCGCGTGTCTCCGTTAATCGCGTTCCGCGAAACCACCCCCGTTTCACGAATAATCCGAGTGTCGCTGAGAGGGGAGGGGAGGAGGAAATCGGCAAGGATTTGGATTGGATGATTGGGCCTCGTTTTGTCGAGGAAGGAATCAGTCAACTGGTCGCTAGCGTAATGAGAATTATTAAGTTGAATTTTTGTGAGTTGAAAAAAATAATGGGGTGAAATGAAAAATGAATAAATAACGGCATAAATAACAGCGTTATTTACTTTTTTCTAAAATATTGCATTCAAGTCCTCAATTGGAAATGCGATAATAATAAGAAGAAGACGGGTATGTTTTCTGTTCTACTCTTCGAAAATTGCGAGAAGATAATTCTAGTCTTAGATTATTTATAAGTTAAAAATCTATATTATTTAACGTTTGGGAAGAGGAAGCTCGATTTATTATATTTATTATTATATTTGTTGCACTTGGGAAGGAGGAGCACGCTATAAATGTATAAATTGAAACGTGGCTCGTTTCTTTGATAATTATAACCGAGTTGTATCGAATTAATTAAGGAAAAATTATCTCTACGTAGGAGTTAGCGCGTATATATGTATATATATATATATATATATATATTCCTTGCCGGGTAAAATTAAGCTGAAAATTTATGTTTATCGTTTCAGGTAAATTAATTTCGTAATACCTGTTAACCTAAACAGTGTGCAGAGAAAAAGTAATTTTAAAAATAAAATTTTAAAAAAGAACAGGAGAAGGAAAAAATTAACCTTCGTTCCTAATTAATCCTCCCAAGAAAACAATTATCGCTGACAATTGCACAATTTCTCTTTTCCCACCCCCTGCCTCTTCCCTCCTCTCTCCTCCCTCCACAAATCGTTCAAAAATACTCGTGACAATATTCCGTAACGAGGCGACTAATTCGCTTTCTTGGAAAAATGATGCACGACTTACGTAAAGGACCTCCCCGTTTCTCTTTAATTGCAGATTGGATCGGTTCACACTCACCAGGCGAACAANGGGGTGGAGGGCCGGGGGGTGGGACGGTGGCCAGGCCTGGCGGCATGTTCTGCTACCACTGCCCCCCGGGTCTTCCAACGCCACGGTTACCACCCACCCTCGAGTACCCATTCGCCGCCACTCACCCCTGTAAGTAGACATTCCATTTTCGTCTCCTTTGCGTTTTGGGATAAGGATTTTGGGATAAGCGGTGGGGGAAAAGGAATTTTTTCTTTTTTCTTTTAGCAATTTGATCGAAATTTAATAATAGAGAGAAAAATTTAACGAATAAAAACTATATAAAAAATAAGAAATTTCATCGCGTGTGTTGGATCCCTTGCCGCGTCCCCAGAGTACTGTTTCCTTCCGATTTACCCTCCCCCGAAAAGAAAAATTCGATTCCGCCCATAATCTTACATTTCTTCATCTATTTCCCCCCTCCCTCACTGCTCCTCCTCAATTTCACTCTAGCCGAGGGTCGACTTTAAAGCGGGATGTATCGTGGAGAAACGTCGATCCAATTTCTCAAATCACCCCCATAACAGGAATTATAAACGATGATGGAAATCTGCCCGTTCAAGATTTAAATATTTTATCGTTGAATTCTACACGAATCTTTAATATTCGTTACGCGTGATATTTTAACGTGATGATTTGAAAATGAGAGTAGATCTAATATAACACAATGGATTACTTTTTTCTTTCCTTTCGTATAAATAAATAAATTTGAAAAGTTGATCAGTTTAACAATTTACTCGAGTTTATATTGAAAAAACGGAATTAAAGGGGAAAGGAGTGCGAGGAGTGGTGCGACAGCGAGGGAGGAGGGGGGGAGAAGGGAGATTGATTGTACCGGCACTTGCTCTGGCGGAACACATCGATGAAGTTACATTACCGACTAGACCGAGTTACGCAAAGTGGACGCTACAAACTGGACGGCCGCTAAACTTAATTTGCACTTCGGACCAACTTCCGGTTAAACCGCGTCCCGACGGCGGTGTCGAGTCGCTCTTCAGAACTTCGACGCCAGTTTGCCTATTCCACCGATCGCTTTCCAAGTCGAATCTCGTTTCTCTCCTCCGGCATTAACTCTACCCTACCTTCTCGACGACAACCGAGTTTCGTAATTTCGGGTTTTTCCCTGTAATTTTGGGGGGAGAAATAAAATTTCTTTTTTTTTTTTTTTATTCGTGTCAAAATTTCATGGCGATTGAATTTCGATGGAAATTGCCTTTGTACAACACGATCCGCAATGGATTTTGTACGAAGTTGAAGTTTGAATTTCGTTCTATCGAATTTGTTGATCGATATCTTTTTTTGTATCGGTTAAATTTTGTTCTTCTTTTTTTCTTTTTTTGCGAATGTTTATATTTTTTAATTCGTTCATTTCCGATCGATCGTTGTCGTAAATTTTAATTAGGATTTTTGACAAGAGACGTAAAATGAGAAAAAGATTTTTCCATTTTATCTTTTTTTTTTTTTTTTTTTTTTTTTTTTTTTGCTTTTTTCACGCGCCTGAATATAACGTTCGGCTCATCGAGTCACGATGTATATGCTCACTTTATTGCATATTATGAACCTCAATGAGATACATGTGGTAGGTGGATAATCGAATGGGGACCGTAGGTGTAGGAGGGGATAGAGATATACGGTTATCCTCAGGGACGTGTGTAAGTGCCCTTCCATCTAGGCCCGAAATATAGTTTAAATAAAATATTGATTTCCCTCGCGCAAAGTGAAATTATGTTTTTAATGCGCATTTATCATTCCCTTTATCCGCGCCCGCTTCCCTCTACCTCCACTTAAAATTAAGTGAAATTCGTACGCGCGTTTATCGTTGATTAGAACGCGACGAAAAACACGTAACAGAGCAGAAGCTTTTCTCCGGACGCCTATATTTCATCTCTCCTCTTTCCCCCCCCCCCCCCCTCCAAAATTCCATCCTCTATTATTAGAAAATTATAATTATTATTTATCAAAAATCATCAGATCAGATTCTACGATTTCTGATCCCTTCCACTTCGACATTATTTAACATACGATCGAATCTTCGGCGCAATCAGAAAAAAAATTTAACCGCACATTTTGTCTCCATACGTCATCCAAGGCACGTAATAATATTCGAAACGGCACATGTGTGTCGAAACGACGCCTGCTGGATGATCTCCAGTAGAGGGAGGAGGAGGGGGAGGAGGTGTCCTCGGGGACGTCCGTGCACCCTTCCAGCTTTCCCCGGCCGGTGTACCCCCTCGCCACCCCCCGTTGGGATAAACAGATTAGGTAACTACGTGATAAGTCGGTAAGTGGGTTCACTCGGCGCAGGGTCCGAGCCCACCGACATTCGCTCTAACATCTAACTAGCTCGTTAGGGTCATTAGTAACGGTCGGGGTGTCATTAGATTTCGTTCTGTGTCTAGTTTTTCCACGGACCCTTCGAATCCGCTCTCTTCGTTCTGCCGACGAGGCTCAGGTAAACGCGATAATTGTTTTTACTATTCTCTTTCATTTTTGCCCCTCTCCATTTTGATTCGAACGACAAATTGTGGATTATTGTTTAAAAAATTCGTTTCAGTCAAATGTGTTGTTACTCGAAGTCGTGAAATTGGAAATGTTGAAACTTTAATTTAATTGATTGCAATTATAATCCTCGAACGAGTCTCTTCGAATATAAATATAAAATCTTACGATTTAAGGAAGAATTTCTTTATTACAGGAAGAATCTCTATTACAGGAAGAATTTTTTAAATTAAATCTCTCGCTTGCTCTCAAACGAGAATCAGAAAAAGAAAGAAAGTATTTGTGTTCTATTAGGAGAAATTTCAGATAGTCTTCTCCATTGATTGGAACGACAAACTGTGGATTATTGTTTAAAAAATTCGTTCAATAAAATATGTTACCTAATTTACAATCTAAATTACAATCCTCGAACGAGTTTTTTCGAATAAATATACAATCTTATGATTTAACCTTATTACAGGAAGAATTTTTTATATTAAATCTCTCGCTTATCTTCGAATGAGAATCATCGACGTGAAGAATCGAGAAAAAAAAAAGGACAAATCGTGACAGTAGAAAATACTTGTACTTTACTACGAGAGATTTAATCTAGATAGTTTTCTCTATTGATTAGAACGACAAATTGTGAATTATTGTTTAAAAAATTCATTTGCTTTAATAAAACATGTTACCTAATTTACAATCTTTAATCTAAATTACAATCCTCGAATCTCTTCGAATATAAAATATAAAATCTTACGATTTAACTCTATTACAGGAATAATTCTCTAAAATCACTCAAACACGCGACCATCGAAAAAAAAAAAGGAGTAGTACCTATGCCTATTGCGCTGGATTTAAGAATTAATTCAAACTTCTCCAAAAAAGGAAGAAAGTATCTATGTCTACTACGAGAAATTTAATCTAGATAGTCTTCTCCATTGATTAGAACGACAAATTGTGAATTATTGTTTAAAAAATTCATTTGCTTCAATAAAACATGTTACCTAATTTACAATCTTTAATCTAAATTACAATTCTCGAATCTCTTCGAATATAAAATATAAAATCTTACGATTTAACTCTATTACAGGAATAATTCTCTAAAATCACTCAAACGACCAGAACCATCGAAAAAAAAAAAAGGGTATCTGTGCTCTATTGCGCCGAACTTAAAAATTAATTCAGATAGTCTTCTCCATTGATTGGAATGACAAACTGTGGATTATTGTTTAAAAAATTCGTTCAATAAAGCATGTTATCTAATTTACAATCTAAATTACAATCCTCGAACGAATCTCTTCGAATATAAAATATAAAATCTTACGATTTAATCCTATTACAGGAACAATTCTCTAAATCTCTCGTTTACTCTCAAACGAGGGACGAGAAAAAAAAAAGTTTACTACGAGAAATTTAATCTAGACATGTTCTCCATTAATTAAAATGACAAATTATGGATTATTATTTAAAAAATTCGTTCAATAAAGCATGTTACCTAATTTACAATCTAAATTACAATCCTCGAACGAATCTCTTCGAATATAAAATATAAAATCTTACGATTTAAGAAAGAATTTCCTTATTATAGGAAGAATCCCTATTACAGGAAGAATTTTTTAAATTAAATCTCTTGCTTGCTCTCAAACGAGCGACGAGAACCAGAAAAAGAAAGAAAGTATCTGTGTCCTATTAGGAGAAATTTCAGAATCCAGATAGTCTTCTCCATTAATTGAAATGACAAATTATGGATTATTATTTAAAAAATTCGTTCAATAAAGCATGTTACCTAATTTACAATCTAAATTACAATCCTCGAACGAATCTCTTCTAATATAAAATATAAAATCTTACGATTTAACCCTATTACAGGAACAATTCTCTAAATCTCTCGTTTATTCTCAAACGGGCGATGAGAACCATCGAGAAAAAAAAAAAAAAAAAAGGACGAATCGTGACAGGGAGAAGGTACCTGTGCCCTACTGCGCGAGGTTCAAGGGTTAATCCAGACGAGGATTTCGAGCGGAAGCAAATCAAGGGCGGTCCTCGAGAGAGGAGGACGAAGCGTTTTAAAGGCGCACGTAGTCGACGGGGCACGTGCGAGCTTCCCGCGTTTGGATACCCGGCCAGAAGCAGATATTAATTCCCCCCCTATTGTTTTTCCCTCGACACGGAGAGACAAAGCCACGAACCCTCCTCCGTGAGTCGCGGAGAAAGGAGGACAAGTGTGCACGAGTCACACCGGGCCCTTTCTTGCGACCGCGTTTCCCCGGCCGCGCTTAATAAATTGGATCAAGCAAGGAGTCTCGATGAGTTTTGCGCGAGTTGTCTGGTTCCAGGGCTTCACCCTCCCTCTCCCTCTCCATCCGGATCACGAGTCTAATCTTAGGATCTCGAGTGGATTTCAGTTTTGCCAATTCGATAAATTTATTTTCCAACGAGCTTCGATTCTTCTTCTCTGTTCATTCTCTCTTCTCGTTCTTTCTCTTCTTGAATTGTTCTCTATTTTTTGGAGAGATTTGGATAGATAAATTTTATAAATTTTTCTTTTTTAATATAAAAGATGTCTATATCCAGAGCTTCGTGGATTTCAATTTTGGCCACTGATAAATTTATTTTCCAACGAGCTTCGATTCTTTTTCTCTGTTCATTCTCTCTTCTCATTCTTTCTCTTCTTGAATTGTTCTCTATTTTTTGGAGAGATTTGGATAGGTAAATTTTCTAAATTTTTCTTTTTTAGTATAAAAGATTTTTACATCCAAGGC